AGCCATATGGCTTGGTACCTTTTTCAGCTGGGCCAATTACATGTTGCCTCTTCGGTGGTCTGCGCAGGAGTGGCGGAGGGACCTTCTTCCTCCGTAGCCTTAGTCTATTCTCATTGCCCCGCCTCTACTTCCTGTCTGGTTGACCCGCCTATACTTCCTGCCTGGCCAATCAGCGTTTTATTAAAATACATGATTGACAGAATACAGATAATTCTCCTGCACCATTCCTACCTCTGGAAGCCTTAGGCTGGGTCTGAGGTCCATGGGGTAGTATCTCCTGAGTAAGCTAACATGGGGAGACATGGGGATTGTGCTGGCTGGTTTTATGCCGACTTGACATAAGCTACAGTCATCAGAGAAAAAGGAAGTCTCAGTTGAGAAAATGCCCCCTTACGATTGGTCTACAAGGAAGCCTGTAAGGCATTTTCTTAACTAGTGGTTGATGTGGGAGGGCCCAGTCCATTGTGGATGGGGCTATCCCTGGGCTGGTAGTCCTGAGTTCTATAAGAAAGCAGGATGGAGCTGAGCGGTGGTGGTGCACACACTTTGGAAGCAGGGGCAGGCAGATCCTGGAGTTTGAGGGCAGCCTGGACTAAAGAATGTGTTCCAGAATAGCTGAGGTGACACAGAGAAATCCAGTCTAGAAAAAAGAAAGGAAGGGAGGGAGGGAGGGAGGAAGGGAGGGAGGAAGAGAAAGAGAGAGAGAGAGAGAGAGAGAGAGAGAGAGAGAGAGAAGGGAGCAAGAGACACAGAAGCTGCCTCTTCAAGAGGGAGACAGAAAAGGAAGAGATCTGCCTGCCTCAGCAGACGGGAGAGTGGGCGTGGCTTGTCTCTTAAAGAGACAGAGCAAATCATTACAGTATCTACAGTTCATAACTAGAGGCCCAATGTGAGCTAGGATAGACTTAGCTTCTTCTGTAGGGTCTGCTGCTGCAATCACCATGGAAACTCTCAGAATCCCCATGTTTCAGGGCCTGTTAAAAATGACTTTGCTATCTCTCGTGACTGTGAAGTCCAGCACATGGGCTGTCTTCATCTCAGGCTAGATCCAGACACTTAGAGAAAGCACACAAGCTGGATTTCTTGGATTTGCTCTGTTTGGCTTCCCTTTGGGAGAGTTATTCCCTTAAGATAACTTCAGAGTCACAGAGGCTGATATTGGGGTAATCAACTCCTTTCCACAAGCTTAATAGCAAGTCTGAATGTGCAGGCCAGCCCAAGTCACCTGCCAACCCCAGGGCAGAGAGGAAAGTGGTCGATGCTTGTGGAACTGGAAATAGCCCTGGGGTGGTCAGCCCTGCCCCATTTCCCACAACAGCCTCGTATCCTGAAGGACGTGTTGTGCCTTAACTCGAGCACTTTGTGCTAATCCTCCTCCTTCTGTTTACCCTACCCATGATGCACTTTCTGGGCACCCTGCCTGTGACAGGCTGCTTTACCTCCAGTTCCCAACAGCTCTACCTAGGAAGTTGGCTGCAGCCCAAAGTGCAGCCACCTGTTCCAGGCCGCTTCCCCACCATGCTCTTTGCGGAGTGATATTTGTGCCGATTGGTAGTCTTGTGAGCAGGGACCTGGAAAGACGTAACAAGGAAATTTTGTGTAGGGCATGAACATAGGTCCTAATAGGGCACCCACTACTCTTGCAGGTGCCAATCGGGTGATTGGGGCTGTAATGCTTCAACAGAGCCAAGCCCTAAGACGGTGCTGACAGAGGACCAGGGAGCTGCAAAATAGGAGTGGGTCAACATGGAGTGAGGTGCTGGTGGGTTTCTTGTGGTCTCGAGGGACAGTATAGTTCTTTCTTTGTTCTGTTGGCTTAGAAATGTTGGGTGGGAAGTAGGGTCTCCCGTTGTCAGTGTTCTCTGATCCTGCTGTGGCTTGTGTAGAAAACTCCTTTGTCCTCTCCCTGTTCCTAGCCAGAAAGATACCAAAGATGAATAATCCAGACAGACTATAGCAAAATCCTCATCCCCCGTGGCCAGCCCTCTACCAGAGGAGGGTGTGGAGGCTGAGAAATGCAGGCCCATGTCCACCTTGTCTGAAGTAAGAGAGTTTGGAGATTGACAGGCATAGTTGCACATCCTAACTCAGGAGGTGACTGCTTGGTTCTTTTGAAATTATGATCGGTCCATGCCATCCTGACAGATGGTCAGGATATGCAAACGTACTTCTGATCCTTCTCCTGTAACTGTGAGGTCACCTGGGGAGGGGTGGCCTTCAGGATACTGATCTAGAGCATCTTTGCTACCTAGACAACAGAATGCTAATGATTTGGTGTCTCAGAGTGGTAACGCGACTGACTGTGTGACTTATCCTTTGTACCATGTTAGTAAAGCCTTTTGTTACCTTCTCTCCCCCTCCCCCCGTTTACATTGGGTATAAAAGCTGTGGAAAGATAAACGTGGGTGAATTTCAGAATTTCAGTAATCACTGGAATACCCTCCCGGTATTATTCTATGTTTTCTGTCTTATTTTATGCATCTTCATATTCTTTACTTATTATTTCTTCAATTCCCATGCCCCTACCCTGGCAAGAGGTGATTTTGTCGAGGCTGGTCCTTGACAGGAGGGAGAGCAACTTCTCTTGCACAATGGGAAGCAGAGATAGTGCCGTCCTAACCAGGAAAAGGTCAGTATGGGTGAGCCCCTAGCCCACTGGAAAGGCCCTCACCCTAGGACAAGCTTGAGGTGTGAATGAAGTCAGATCTAGGCCAGAGCTCTGGGTATTGTGTTTTTCAACTCAACTGACTGTAACACGGTGAAAAGCTTGTCTTGGTCAGTGTTCTATTGTTGTGAAGAGACACAATGACCACAGACAACTCTTACAAAAGAAAGCATTTAATCGGGATTTGCTTATAGACCATAATTAGCCTGGTGAGATGCAAGGCGGCAGGAAGAGAAAGAACACTGGGACTGGTTTGGACTTTTGAAACCTTAAAGCCCATCCCCAGTGACACACTTCCTCCAACAAGGCCAGCCCTCCTAATAGTGCCACTCCGTAGCGGCCAAGCATTCAGATCTATGAGCCTATAGGGGAGGAGGGGGAGCATCCAGCTTTCTTCAGTCCAAAGAGTCTATATTGTGTTACCATGCCCATTTTCTATACCCTACACCTAGGTGCAGAGGGACACTAGGTGCCCAGATTTCCAGCTGATACCTCCATGCCAACTGGATGAAGGGTCTGGGTAGTTCCAGACCTGGCATGCAGGTCCCTGAGGTAATCATTATTTTCTACTTTGCTGAGAAAGTATCATCTTACAAGAATGAGGCAAGAGTTTGCCTAGCCTAAGGAAGGTAGAAACGGGTGGGGGGGATATATCTCTCAAAACCTCTGCCCTCCACTGGGAGCAGAGATCTCAGTAGACCCTATCCACGTTTTCTGCAAATGGGAGAGACCTGGTGTTGTGACTGGGTCTGTCCAAGTTAGTGATGAGGTGCTCTGTGGCTGGGTGGGAGACTTCTGACCTGCATCTTACTGCCCATGAGACTGGGGAGACTAGGACATAGTCTAGGAAAGGGCTCTGTGGGTGTGTGGGATCGTAGGATCATATATAACACAAGAGGCAGGACCCAGTGAATATTTTCCTTTTCCTTTCCCAGGTAAGGTTATCTCGAAGGTGTCACCAGGGGGTCGCAATCCATAGGACGGATGGCAGAGACCCTCCTCACCTCCCTGTTCAATACACAGTGCTCCTCAACAGCAGAGCTTTCAGCACTGGGGGTTCCGGTTTCACCCCTAGTTAGGTCGGCAGGCCTAGCCAGGTGACCTGTGCTAGGGTACGACTGCAGTGATCCTGGAATGTGATCTTTCTTCCCTTCCATCCGTGAAGCAGCATAGCTACAGGACAAGGTGAGTTCTTTCTGTCTGGTTGTTTCGCGTTTTTGAGACTTCTCTCAAGTTCGCTAAGTAGTCAAGCCTTGACCTTCCTGATCCACCCTCCCAAGAACTGGGATGACAGGTTTATGCCACCGTAACCTCTCTAGGGTGCTTGTTTTATTTTTAATCTTGTTTTCATTGTGAGGATCTCACTAAATTACCCAGCTTGGCCTTGAACTCATTTGGTAGCCTGGGTAGGCTCTCTCTTAAGCAGCTTGGATTCTATAGACCTGCACCGCATGACGCAGGATGGGCTTTTTGCGGGGTATTTTCTTTGGTCCTGGCCCTCTTCATGCTCCAAAGAAGGGAAGGAAAACCGATCCAACCGAGAAGGTCGATCCAACCTGCAGCTTCTCTTCAGGTGTGCAGTTAATTTCCACCAAGCCAAAGCCTTGCAGATGCCAACTGTTCCAAAGATGCAGGAGCTCAGAGTGAAGTTACATTTCAGTCCTTGAGCCTAGCCCCCACGGTCAGAGCAGGCGGGACCCCTTTGCTGGCCATGAGGTGCCAGCATCAGCTAGAGGGACCATCCCTCAGGGGTCCTCATCGACTGTTGCCAGGGCCTGTCCCTAGGTTAGAGCGCATCCTCTGCCCACGGTAAGTGGACTCTCGCGCCGTGGGGTGCGGTCCAGAGAGGGTTAAGGGGGCGGGGACGCGGGGCAGCCCCGCCTCTGCCGCTGGGTCCGAGAGCGCACTGGGCGTGGGCGTGGGGCGGGTA